TGTTTTTTGACCTCGAATCTTTGTTATATTTAACTGCCGTCCCGCTCCCAATGCCTCTGTGTGTGAAAAAAGACTCGCCACCAAAGAACACAACAGCTTCATTGCAAACAAGCGGGTGCAAAAGTTACATCGGCCCTGCGGTACTTGAGGGGCACTTTTTAACATTGATTCAGGCTGTTTGATTGGCGTTTAGTGAACATCCTTAGCATCGACTATGTTTTTAATAGATAGCTGGATAGACAGAGTGATTGACGGGTCTGGAAGCTTGGAAGCTTCCACATTGAAATTTTGGTAGAGTTTCAGGGCATCAATAGGTTCTTGGCATTCTGTAGTTATTTTTTTCAGGAATATGACAAACTTACACTTGAAAGGTTATTCCTGACTAAAGGAGAGTATTCGCACCTGGCTTTCCACTGTTGATTTTCTACCACATGAGTACATCACCAAGTACAATTATCATACTAAGCTTCGCTGTTTTGTTGCCTTCATTATAGAAACATCTTGTCAGCCGGAGTCGGCTGTCTGTCTGCCAGTTTCTGCCTGCTGGCTATTTCCATGTGCACTTTCCTCCATGCGCATCTGATCATCTATGACTGGGATCCGGATAAACACCATCCGAATAGTCAGTCGATGAATCTTTGGCCGTCTGCCACCGAAGGGGTGAGTCATGCCACGAGCACTTCCACTGTGGTTTATGGGTCGATGATTTGTAGGGTTGATTGTGCAGAGATGAACCACGGATTGATTGATCTTGCTACATACCATCCTAATGGTTTGTTACGCAGGTGGGTGTGTTGAAGGCAATGCATTTCAGCGGACGATTTGATTAAGCACTTGCAGTTTGTTGGTGTAACTGGACAGATTTTTATTTCCGACTGTGTTGCTCATCCGATTTGGCGAGAAGCCTGGATAGTTCCTTGACATGCACTGACTTCACTTGCAGGATAAAATCTCAACTGAGGAATTTTTCAAGTGAAGCACTTTTGGGATCTCCATAGACCAGAATCAGGGGTCAGACTAAAGCCGAACAAGCCTATGGGGCACGCTCTTTTTATGACGTAATATGTGGTACGAAATGTATCACAAACAGAATCATGGACACAATCATATTTTATTCCACGGATATGTATTCTACATGTAACAACCATTATTATTACGTTTCCGCGAATCCCGGACGCTTGCTACATACACGTTTTATAGGACGCAATGATTAGTGTGTTCACTTTGCCGTTCCTATCCTATGTTCATCGATTACTCGTGATGCAAAAATTGTGGACATTTACCTACGGACACAAATCGTGCCTACCTATTTGGGAGTCAGATTTGACAAACAATTCCTACTTACTCTTAAGGTGCATGGATGGCGGTAAATTTTGTAAAGTCTAAACAAAATGCGACTGGATACATGGTGTCACCTGGTAGGACTGTGGTTACTGATATAAGCAAAATCAGGCCCAGATTGACAAATCTTTGTCAACACTTGATCATCTTGACTACTGCGGAAGAGATTGTCACTCAGGGACAATTCGTACAAGCTCTAGCGCCAATTTGGCTGACTAGTCATGTGATAGAATCACGTGGCTCTCATACTCCGTCCGGATCTGGAAACGTTGGCGGGACATGGGTCGTTCTAAACTGATATGGGTGAACCAATCGTGTTGCGGTCACCAGCATTCTGTACACTGCCCACCACGTAGCTACGTGGAAGCGTCAAGCATGACAATCACCTGGTTCGATACCAATAATTGCCGTTAGACAGGCTACGGTAGAGTAGAACAGGAGCGACCCTGACTTACGTTTGACCAGACTCCCTTCCAACAGGAATTTTTATAGAGAAGTATGGGTCTTGTTTCTTCCGATTTTACCACTATTAAGCTGTCCATCTGAGTCAACCTTTTGGATTCAGCTATTCATCCAAGTATTTTATTCGCAACACATTAGTTTTACCGGTCATTAACAAGCCTAAAGGTGTAAGTTAAACCAGTGCGATTGTTCGGCTGGCTGTGGTGTCTGGTTGCTGTGGCAGACCAAGAAATTGAATTTACTGAGGAGATAATGCTTCAGTTGAGAATAGGCAGAAAAGTCTTCACCAGCGAAGATATGGAAGATTTTGACACAAACTGGAATAACAATAAGAAACAGGGTATTGTCGTTGTGGAGTTGTTGATGTGACAACATGTTGTCGCTATATTTCCGTCCCGTAGAACACTCCTTCAAAATCATCAACTTAACTGGCTTTACGCTAGTTATGCTGCTAACAAATGTGCCAATAAAAGCAACGAGATGATGTGAACAATTGCCTTTTAGGGGTAACATTTGTTGTATCCCCTGCGTCGAAAGCAACACGATAAGAGAAGATTGCTTATTAGTGGGCCACACTTTGAGAAACTTACAAACCCGACAGACATCGGCCTCTGGCCGGTCAGTGAATCGTAACTGGAGGTAATCAGAGCGTTCGTCGGTCTCATGAATTTTGAACATATAGGGGAAATCATATACTTAAAATAACGACTTGTGCTTGTGATCCGTTTAACCAAATATCCAAGATGATAAGTTTGATTGGTAGACACCGGTGAAGTCAACGAAACTTTTCTGCATCTATCCTCTTCCAATCATCACATTTGAAGGACTCACGTGTTTAGGCTTCAACACTCGGTTTGACCACAGCCTAATTCATTGCACGCACGTGACCTACCATCTGTTTCTTCACTTTGTCTCTTACATTTGTACAGCTGTTTCATGTTTGAAGTCGTGTACCAATTTCATATTTAAGGCAATCAAGAGGAGAATACATCCAACATTTCCCCGTATACTCCCTTAGTAGTGAACTGGTCGTGCTCTTACCTGACCACAGAATACTTACCGCCGTTCGCAACCTAGATATACTTGGTGAAGCTTTGGATCGCCCAGAGAGCTAATACCTCCTTTGTCTTCTTGCTACAGGAGCATCAGTTGTCAGTAACCGACGAAGCTGAGCCTGGTATCAGCAAGGTGGAACGGAGTGTGAGGTGAGCACGTGGTCAGTGTGACAGACTGAACTGCAATACCCACCGGGCTACAATTGCTCACAAATGTATTTCCCTTGACCGTTTTTCCCCACTTCATGTCAGTGGCACTGGCCACCCTAACTTTTACCGAATGCTACATGCCTTTTACTATTGTTATTATTGTTATTGCTGTGACTACTCTTTGATTATTTGTTCCAAAACCGACAACACACTTGCAATTTGCTGGTTTATTCAAGCATTACTCTGGGCCCACCATAATATTGTCTCTGTTTTTCAGTTGACAAGCGGACAACTAATTCACGTGACTTCCAAAACGCCTATGAGTTTTTACATGATATCGAAGTTTCCTCCAAGCATGAGGCAATTAAACTAGACCTCGTAATCATTGGGAAACTTGCCGTAAGAGAAAGTTTAATACAAGAGTGGGCAATTCAGGTGCCCAGTCGAATACGTGGTGAGCGTACTGATTCGCATTTAAGTGGAAACGTTTCAGTGTTACCCAGCTACTGTCTTCGCTTATCTATATATCCATCAGTTCTTTAAAATAGCAGTGGGCGACTACCGCAACCATAGTCTTTTGATCCGCAGTGAACCACTTTGAAACATGAGAATTCCTTCATCAGTTTTATCTAGTTGTGAAATCACTATGTGTGGGAAATCGATCGCTCGATCACTAAAAAACATGACGCATTCTACATTCAAAAAGGCGACAATAAACATGTGGTCTTTGGTCGCGATGATTCTCAACAGGACATAGCGTTACAATGAACGAATATCCTAAATCTCTTATGTGATAATGGGGTGGTGGCTTCAAAACTGAAACCGCCAGACAACGACCAACTGAGCTAAAATGACCTTCTCACTGTCTTTCAGATGAGTACCAAACGATAGCGAGTAAAAATTGACTTTACTTCCAAACTTGGTATTTCTTGCTAATCTGAAATACGGACAAGAGATGGATTCACACATGTGACCCGGGTGGATGAAGAATCTGTTTAAATGAAGTCTGTGAGACAAACATGTGAATTTGATTTGGCCAACGATGTCTATTCACACCAGTAGTGTGTTTGTAAATGGAGATGCACACAACTGGAAACCGTTGCGGTCGAAGCAAGATCACGTTGTTCACTTATGGCGCCAACGTTGAATTGTTTGTCCACAGGCAACCACTTCTGTTCTAAAATTAACCCTCGTAGCACTTATCCGGTGGTTTGGTAAACACTGGTTCTGGAAAGGCCACATTTAATCTCTCACTGGTAACGACATTTATATTGAGGGAACAGATTTCCTTAGGAAACCGAGTAGCTTCGTTGCTTCATTTTACGCGAAAAGTTTCTCGTGATAGTGCTTCTACTTAGTTCATCACAAATAAATAATCGATTCTATCGGCAGTTATCACAGAGTTCGTTAGAGTCCTCCAATTGATAGAGAAAAATGTTTTTGAGGTGTACTGTATAAAAAGCTATCGTTTAACAATCTTATATACGCTGGGTAGGGTAGCACAGGGGGGGCATAAATCAGTTCAGCTGAACAGGTGGGAAGTTGGCCAAAAGGAATGAGATGCAACTGACCATCTTATCAGCAAGGCGGTTGTCATGCTCGAACCGTCGTTTCGTGGGGTCATGAAGTGAATATTTCATCTTGATAGTTTGTCACTTGCGTTTTGGTGTTTTTCCATGAAGTCCCTTTCATCCATGTTACCTTGACTTCCAATGAAACGCAAACCTTGCCCTTATTCCCCGTTAGCGGATTACTACAAGCATAAGCGCCACATGTATCACAATGCCTATTGATCACACGATTGAGCTTAAATTGATATCTGTTGCAGCAACAAATTGGCTGAATATGGATTCAGTTCCATGTTAAAAATCGGCTGCAGTGTAATGCGGAATTAAGAGCGAATCATTCTTTCCACTTCAACTGCGGTCACCAGAACACCTCCACGACGAAGAAGATGATATGCACTATGAGGATCAACAGTATCAGCAACCCACCGTAATCATCGTCACCACCACAACGACCACTATCATATCCACATGGAACTCACCCGTAATTGAACAGTCGAAATGCCGAAAATTTTTTCCGAGATGGCGCCATAAAAGACTGAATTTTGTTCCTGATAGTTAGACAACTATGTACATGATGCAAGTCCATGCACTGTACAGATGGTTCATCTTTATTATGAGTCATCAGTAGGGTGAACATCACGAAACTGTATTGAGTTCTGAGAGAGTGATCTCACGTCTCTTGGTTTCAAGATGCAACCGTTCGGCTAGGAACGGTTAATCAGTCGTGAGATTAGGACACACAGACAGGATATGGCCTCACTCGTCCTCAAGCCCCGGAATAGACATCAGGTGGTCATGTGTTCACTGGCTACATGAGTAATATTTTTTCAGACGGAATGCTCACTTGTGGTGTGGATTATTCTTCCTTCTTAGGTTCATAGTAAGGAGAAATTTAGGGATAATCAGAACAGTACAGCTGTTGGTGTAGCACTAGAGCCACCGGTTAACCAGCAGTCTGTACTGATGCAGCATATACTAAGTACCGGATAGTTTGTTCAGTTGTAGCACCCTTCCGGTGCTTAACTGCCATACCGCCGGAAGGAAGCAGGAGGGCTAAAATACTGCCAGGTTACCCAAGCCTAGACGGGAGAAGTCGAGAGGAAGAGGCCGGGTTCGAAATACGGATCCTCCGGTCAGTAGATTCGTGCTCTAGCCACTTGAGCCATCTCGGATAGTTATGGTTAGGTCGATATTGATCTAGGACAACTAAGCTATGGGGATCATTGCATCTGTGGTCTGTTCCATCACCACCTAGCGTTTTTTTGGTTGGAATCTTTGAGAACCGCCCAAATGTTTTTGTAAGTGAACATAAAGTGAGACTGAAGCTGGGACCAAATGGACACTGGATTGCCACTGAGAGGAGCGCTTTAGTGCGGGGATGCCTTATGAAACCCAATGACAGTGAAACCATGATTATCCTAAGAGCTGTTGTATATATACCCTGAAAACTCATACGAAAATATACTCCTCGTTTCCCATTCTTGAATCGCTAACCATTGGAGGCTTTATTACAGTCATTCTACAAACATGGTAACCCAACCTGATAAAGGCAAACAGGCTTCGGATTATGGAGACAAACAGCTGTCACTGGAGTGGAGAAATATGAAATAAAAGAAAAAATATCAAAACAAAACTGGAAATTTCGGGGCTGTATCAGGTTTCCTAGCAAGCCAAGTTAGAACAAGCAATACCAGATACAGCAATCGCGAAATGGCGATTTTTACGAGAAACACTGGTCTAAAGATAATTTCAAGGCCAGTCCCCACCCAGAACATATAACTGTTTATAACTGCCAGATACAGTCAGTAGGGACTCACATTAGTCTGATATTTGCCGGTCACCTGCACCATAAAATGTAAAAAAGCTCTAATTTGTATGATATCTGGAATATGTATTCCGGGCTGGAATGTACAAATAAAGTTATTTCGCCAGCGAGTTTCAAACCCCTTAACATATTTCCGTTTGGAGTCTTAAACTATTGGAAGAATATACTTTTTCCTCGCACTGAAATTCCTCGATGAGGTCTGCTACATTGTGCCCATTGATGGGCAATCCCTGTTTTCTGGTGGCAACGTCCTCACTAATGTGAGAGTTTGGTAGCAAGCTTGCAGTCCCTTAGAATGACTGATGATTTTCCGAAGAGTATAATCTCTGGGTGAATATGACCATCGGTTCACAGCCCAAGGTATATATGGGCGGTTTGCTCGAAGTCCGTAGTTCTACTCTGACATTGTATCACTTACAACGATATCAACTAAAAGACCCATATCCTGCTTCATGCTCACTCCACTTGATGTGTCTGCGATTGCAGTGGTGTCCCCAGAGCTGCCCACATATTTTGGATCGAAGCATCAGTTGAACAGGGAAACGTTTCTCAAACAGTTTACTGGAAGTGACAAACAATGTCTCTGCCGGCAGACCTTTCAATTCAGCCATTTACCTGCCATCTTCCGTTAGTAGTGTGGCATTAGATTGTGCGGTTGTCACGAGACTATATCTTATGAATAAACAGGATTCCTGCCAACTGGACAAGTGGTCCGAAACAATCGTCATCAGTATTGTTCGCAAATCTCTACACTTCAGTGCTGAGTTTGATTATAATTTTCTCTTTGAATTCATTTTTTGTTTACTAATGTCTTATTATAAACACAGGTTGCTAGCGCCAGTATTTCTCCACGAAAAACTTCCTTCTTTGTACTCATGTTGGATTACTTTGCTGCGTGCCAAAAACGTCTTTTTTCATTTCAACAGTGCTACTTACGGAAGAGTCATTGAGACCAACAGGTCATACCTAACTATGGATTACTTTCACTGGTTCATACATGATGCCGGGTCTTCGACAGCGTTTCGAGTACACCTATGCAAGTGGCTCGTCGATATTTTAATTGCCCCTTTCTATTATTGCTTTGGTAACGTTTTGACAGCTTGAACGACAATCTCCTCAATTTGTCTACTTAAATTTGCTGATCATCCGAAATTCAGAGAGGAGTTTACGACTCACGGTCGGTGATAGATTAGCCATTGCTCTAACTTTACTAATTTCCCCTGCAACCACTGAAACGAAGTTTCGCATTGGGCTAAGAATATCTGCGTGTTAGAACCGTTTTCGAGGAAACTACTCAAAGAATACTGAGAAAAATTTTACTCTCCGATGAGAAGGCCTCGCTATACGTCGTAATCTTCTCCATGGAGCTTTGGAAAGTGAAATCATGGTGCCGAATATCCATAGGTGGTAACCTTATTTCAAACCGGACCTGCCCATCTGTTCATTTGTGCCTGCTATTCACAGGTCGCTGGTTTGTGTTTCAGGATAGACGCGAGAATTTGGATTATTCAGCCGGATCTCATAATGGTAATCAGTTCAACTGCAATTTCAGTGACACTCACACCAAAAGGCCTGATCGATGTCTTTGAGTGTATTCCAGATACAAATCTCCTAATACCGTGAACTAAACTTGCACACGTTTGTTCCGAAATGCACAACATTCCGAAAAGTGCACACAAAACACTTCCCGCTTGACACTTATCTGTTGATTGGCTTAGGTTTACCTGAGTTCATGCAGCAGCCTGACGACATGTTGAAAATGATGTTGAAAATGACAAATAATCTCAAAATACATTCACCTATTTTTGTAACTCACTTCTTGGGACAGTGAGTTTCATTTTATATTCCCCTAGCCCACT